GAAGAGGGGCTAAATTGCTTCCCTGAGGTGCCCCACTGGTAGAAATGCAAATTTGCGATTTATGACCACGGTATTCAACATATTGTGACCGATTACTGAGGTATGATTGAAAGAAGTTTAGTAGGTTAGTGTCGAAGCCAAGATTATTCAATTTAGATACTAGTATTATATGGTCCAATTTGTCAAAGGCCTTTGAAAAATCTGTGTATATGGTATCGACTTGAGACTGATTATCTATAGCATTGCTGATAGTTTGTGTGAAGCACATTAAATTGGTGATGGTTGATCTCTTAGATATGAAGCCATGTTGGTCAAGTGATATTTTATTCTTTACATTGGGAAATACTCTATTATAGATCAAGATTTCAAAAGCCTTTGCGAAATTTGACAATAAAGTGATGGGACGATAGTTTCTTATTTGATTGATAGCTCCAGATTTAAATATTGGGCATATTTTTGACGGTTTCCAAACATCGGGAAATGTTCATGTGTTTAACGATCTGTTATATATTATTTGGAGGAGTTTTGCAAAAACATAAGCACAATCTTTTACAAAAAAGCTAGGTATATTATCATAGCCACAGGTATGTTTTGATTTGAGTTTTTCCAGAGCAGCCTGGACTTCATCTTCACTTAATTTCTCAAGTGATATAGTTGGTGTATTCAAGGGTAGTGTATCATCTTCAATGGTGTTATTATCATTTGGGGTAGTATAAACACTGCTGAAATAATCTGCAAATGCATTTAGAATACTTGAGGGGTTTTTACATTCTATTCCATCCATATAAAGTATTCCAGGAATTCTAGAAGTCCCTTTTTTACTTTGAATAAATGACCAGAACTCTGAAGGATCAGATTTGATGGATTTCTCGGATTTGTCTATATATTGTTTATATGATTTCTTTATATTAGTTTTAATAGATTTATTCAGTGCCACAAATTGTTCTCTCAATTCATTTGAGTTAGATGTTTTCAGTTTTTTGAAAATTCTATTCTTTACTTTAGTTTCTTTTATAGTATCTTTACTAAACCGAGGTGGGTACTTTCTAACAAAATTGGGAGTTTTTGGTACGTATAGGTCAAGTATATAGTAAATCATTTTGTAAAATTCAGACAAAGCTTCATTGGCATCAGAATAAGTTTCCAGGAAATCCCAATTCATATTGAGAAGATGAGAGTATAGGAGGAGAAAATTAGCTTTTTTAAATTTGTAACTGACTGATTCAACATTATATTGTATTATTGAAGTTTGTGGAAATTCCAGTGATATTCGAAGAGAGGGGTGATGATTATCTTCCGAAATCATTGGCAGCTGGTCATGGGTGATATGACATTCCATATTTGAAAAAACTAAATCTAATAAACGCTCAGATGTGTTCACTATAGTATTGAATTGTTTTAGTTCGTAAAAGCTCATTAATTGCTGTAAGTTTATCAAGTTAATGTTGTTAACATGCACTACATCTGCTCGATTTACAAAGTTTGGTTGATTGAAATCACCCAGTATCAATATATTACTTTCATAGAGGCACTCAAGAGTTTCTAGTGTTTCCAATAGGTTTTGTATTTCTAAGCTACTTGAGTTGGGTGGGATGTAAGTTGCAAAAGTATAGAAAAGATTATGTTTAAAAATTATCTCACAGCCAACCAGATCAATACTAGCGAAATTGTTCCGATATGATGAAAGATCGATTTCTGCAGCCAGGATATATTAGAGTCTAGGGAAATGATCATAGGTTTTGCATGAATTGATATGTTGATATCATGAGGAAACTGATAACAGCGGGCGGTAATGTGCACTTTACAGCCCGTAGGCCATATAATGAGCCCGTGGCCGGTAAAGTGCAACTTAACGCCCGCGAAACCGAGAGGTAAAGTGCACGGGGCGTAACTTGCTTTTATGGACGTGTCAATAGCCCTCGCTGTTGCTCGGGTTCTTACTTACACGCTACTATTTCACGCCCTTGATATATGAATAACTGATGACGTGGGAAAAATAAACAGGAAACGATCATAACATAGCTCAATATCTCGGATAGAAATGATGTTTACAGTGTATTGAACATATTTATCTGTTCAGGACATCAATCATCTAGGTTCTTGGTAAAAGTTAATTGAAATATTATGATGATTGGGGATTCGGAAAGGACACTTTTCCTGACATGAGCAGAAGAAGATTATTGATTTGTTGGAGTAAAAAATGTTTCGATCCCTATAAACAATATATCAGACATTCTGAAGATAATTGCTTCTAGTTCTTAACTCTCAAATAAGAAGTCATAATACTCATGTAGAAGACCTTTGAACTCATCAAACTGCTTGCATGATTATCAACGTGTGCATGTAGTTGGAGTTTCAATGTCGTTTTTTCATCGATATCCCGATAAGCCATATTGTGATTTTGTCAGGAAATGATAAGTGTGCGAGTTTAGTGTGTGTTTGATTAATGAAATCAATCTTCAGATGTGATAATTGGATTTGCTTTGATTTTTCCAGTGGCACCCTGGTAGATACGGCATATTGTGATTTTATCAGAACATGATTAGTGTGTGTTGATTATTGGTATCAATCTTCAGATGTGATAATTAGATTTGCATTGATTTTTCAAGTGCCGCCCCGGTAGATAAGGCAATTGATACCTATATCTTATAAATAATCATATCTTCTTCAAGTTCAGCAATCAAGAATGCAACATTTTCATCTCATGATTTTTCAATGTATCTTGTTTGTCGACATGATAAAAAATGATATGCAGGGTGATTCTCAATTCGATGTCAATATTCAGAGGACATATTGTTGGGATCAAAAATATGACATTTTCTTCATATGGAAATGTATCTTAAAATTCATCGCTTCCAAGCTGAATCCACTGTAAATCAGGTAAAAAATGAAGATATTCTGGAATTGTGACTGAAATAACGGATCATATCTTCTGAAAATTGGCAGACCCCTGTTCATTCAGATACTTTATTTCATTCTCTCTCCAGAAATGATGTAAACCCAGTTTTGAGGGTGGGGTTGGAGGGGGGTCCTCACTTTTATTGGCCAAAATAGAGTGCATTTCAGAACACATGCTCACATGGAGAAATATTCACATCGGATTCTGAATCACCATGTGCATTATAAAATTACGAGATGACTATAGATGCAAAGAACTTCACAATGCGGGAGTATCTTTTTCATGAATTTTCATTAGATTATCTATAGATACAGTGAAGATCCTTTCTATTTCCGAACAGGAGCAATCACAAGAGATTTCTGAAGAATATTTCTCTTGGAACTCCCTTCAGCTTTGTAGATCATGGAAAGCTGTTTGAGTGTTAAGTAGGTTTTCGCACGAACTTAGAATCCGAGTTTTTGTGAAGCAGCTTTGGCGATGGATCTGACATGATTTTGATATTTATTCATGTATTCATTTATTTTTATTTATTTATTGAAGTAATACATCCAACAGACTAAAAGTCCAATTACAGGAGTATATAACAAGAGGAGAATGTGCATCACACACTTATCTAAGCATAGTATAACACTATATGAGTATGATAATGAACAGAAAATAAGAACACTATTTCAACCAATGATTATGTTAGTTTGATATGAGGCTATACAGAGCTTTTTTGAAGTGACCAGAACTCAAAAAATATATATCTACTGAGGGAAAATTATTGAAACATCTACACATATAATTAATACCATTTTGAAAATAATGCTGCGAATTAGGTACATCAATATGGAAAGTTAGGCTAGTTCTAGAGACTGAGCGAGGTGCATTGAAATTTAAGAAAGACAACAAAGTTGATGAATCGATTCCATTGTGGATAAGTTTATGGATGAAGGAGAGCGCATCAATTTCACGACGTTTTTTTAAAGAGACAATATTGAATTAATTCAAAAGTAGGTGATAATCATAGTGTCTCACAGGATACGAGCCCTGCACTTTGAAATAAATAAATTTTAAAAATTTACGTTGAATGTTCTCAAGTTTGTCAATATAGGTACTTATTATGATAGGGATTCCATATTTGGCTGGCGTATTCCATTTTCGTCCTAAACAAAGAGAAGTATACACATTTCATTGCTTCAACTGATTGAAATTCTTTGCAATTACGTATAACAAATCCGAGTAGGCGTGTTGATTTATTAACAATATTTTCTATGAGGGAAGAGAATGTCAACTTCGTGTCGAACGTTATTTCCAAATCCTTACATTCATGCACCCTTATAACAATGTTATCGTTCAGCATATAGTTGTGTACAATAGGAGACTTACGTGAATATGTCATCACTTTACATTTACTGATATTGAGTGGTAAGTTATTGGAGTTACACCATTTCACAAGGTTAGATATGATATGATAGTGTACTCATACACCTTCATACTAGATTGTTTTTTTTTGTATATAGAGGGAGATAGAGAGAAATTAAAGGACGAATAAGGAGGTATTATCTTGTAGAGTTGGTTGCTATATACTGGACATTGGAGTGCATCAAGTTACATTTTTTGACGATATATTTGAAAGTTTGAGTCAGAGATTCTACCAATCCGACCAGATTTATCATTCTTGGCAATATTCGATATGAAATTACAATATACCTGATAAGTACTGATATCACTAATTTGAGATGTATTTTCTGAGTTGAAAATGTATAATTTCGAAAGCAAAAATCAATTAAAATCATTGTTACCACTAAATGAGAAAAAAATTCATTTTGCCCGACCATATATAATGTTGAATGCATTTTACAAATTCAATTTCTTGTTATCTCTAGACGGCTTGTTTGTGGTTTCTGGTTTTGATAATAAATCATATGATGAACTATCCAACAAACTGTAGAAATATAACTGAAATCGATAGAAGAACTCCTGATTCACATTATTTTAAATTCGACAAAATTATAAACCACGATTTTCTTTTTGTTGGTCACCTTTTGGAATATAATTATCCGCTTCATCATGATGAATTCAACTGAAACTACAAAATAAGGTACGTAATACATACAATTTCCCACCCAAGAACTGCTGAACCCCAAACTGAGTAACTCTTGAGCAAGTCCACATCTAGTGTAAACTTTACTTTCGACTCCATCTAGCAGTACAAAAAACAAAAAGCCACAGTAACATAACAGAATATACAACAACTTCATTTGTTCGACAACTACATGCACTGACATTCACTGACGACTTGGACCATTCATCAATATGCTAAACGAAATTGTTTATCATCAACAATATATTCAAATAAGTGTATGATGATAATATTAATTCAAATATTGAAACAGTTCGACTTGGCTTCACTGTTTATTGGCCTTGACTGTATTGAACCTAGTTCAAATTTTGTTCGTAGTCAGAGGCGTCATTTCAGTGTGTGCCAAGAGGGGGCAGGGGATTCACAAAAGAAATCTGCGGAATGCGCCAAATGCATTGAATTGAGAATAAGATTTCTTTGAAACTGACAACTTGATTATGTTATGTATTATTCAGTTTCATGTTCTCATTTCGTTTCAATTAATGAAAAATTATCTAAATATGAGTCTGAATTCAAGAAGAATGATTAGATCGAGTAAAAAATATTTTAAGAAGTTTCCAATTGGAGCAGTTCGGCATGGCTTCGGTGTTCATTAGCTATTTGACTGTATTGAACCTTGTTGAAATTTTGTTCATAGTGAAGGGCGTCATACAATTCCTACAAAGTTATCTGAACATTTTTAAAATCAGAAAAGCGAATAATGAGTATTTGAAATAATGAATGTAGGCTTATAGCAGAGTTGGAGAATGTTTGTTTCTCTTGGAGTTTCTTTTTTTTTTAATTTTCTATCTCGTTTCTTCGGATGGATACATTCATAGTACGGCCGTTGATTGATATATTACGCTTTCAATATATCAATCAACGGTACGGCACACAAGGTTGAAGATTACTTGAGTGAGATTTTCTCAACGAACTGACATTTTTTGACAATCTTCCCGATTTTACCTCACTATAAATGAATTGAAATAGGTACCTCAAACTCACATTTTCGTGAACTAAGACGAAGAGGAGAAATCTCAAGAATCTAGAGAAATAAAACATTGTTTCTTTACGAAAAAAAGGAAATGAAGCAATTTTATATGAATGAAGAAATCATCATAATCTCAGTGAGTTTGAAGGTATGTGAGATAATCAGTGTTTCCAGTTTCCAATGCTGTTGTGCGATATTTCGGTTATCTCTCGAGATTGAGTGTTGCGGGATTCACAACACCGCCTTACTTCTTTGAGAAACGAATAATGCCGTGAACACAATTTCCACAACCCTTTGTATTTTTGAGATACAAGGCGGAGTTGAGAATTCTCTTTTTTGATCACCTCCCTCCAATTTTTATAAAATGAAGCCAGATCATATTGGTTCAATTCAGATTCTTCATAGCTCATCAAATGTATGAAATAGTTCAAATTCCAATTTTGTTTCCGAATGAAAATTATTTTGGCTCAATTTTCTAAAAATGAACTATTACAGAAATAAAATAAGTACGCCACTGTTTTATACGTAGAAAATTATATAAGGCACCGTTCTCATCCTGCCGATAAGTTCAAGTGTGACCAAGATACGGGACGTGCTCATGAAGTGAGAGTTTACAACTTTTCTCTGTATCTCGAAAAAAATAAGGATTTTAAGAATTATGTTTGCGGCATTATTCGTTTCACAAAAGAAAGACAATAATATGAAAACCGCAACACTCTATCTCCAAAGATAACTAAGATATCGCGCAAATGATGGCAAAAGCATCGAAAGCTGAACACACTGTACATGTTATTGGTTGAGTGGTGATAATGATTATTATCAATCAAGGGTTACTGACTCATTGTTTCAATCAAGCGAAATAATCGAGAGATTTCCTAATTTATTTCGATATTTTCATCTATCTCTTGGCGCACACGATAGAATACTCTTATGATGTTCAACATCGTGCGGACTTAGGGAGGATAGGAAGAAGAGGTGGGTGTTGGATTTGGTTGATCGAACTTCTGGAAGTTATGAGATCTATATAAGATATTGTAATGGAATGATAGCACATATTTCTGGAAAACATTTTCCGTGAAACTATCTTTAAAAATATGAAACGTCGTCGTCTCTTCTACGATATTCTCATGAGGATCAGTTAGTGTGTCATCACCCACCCAGGCGACCGGCTCTTCGCTGAATGAAATCTTAGAGCATCAGCGTATGTTTTGGATACTGAACCTCATATGTGTATTCGAAAACTGACCGTAGATCATGAGAAGCTATTGGGGTGTAAAATAGATTTTCGCACGTAATAAAAATCCGAGTTTTTGTGAAGCAGCAGACATAATTTTCCCATGGAAGAGTATTGCTGATGAAAATACCGAGTATAGATATAGCGGTCTTGGTGGGAATGGTGATACGAGACATTGTTATATCCCGCTCACTGAGTTCCGCCTCTCTAGTATTAAACAAGAGTTGATGGTCCCCTCTAGCTGTAAGTTCACCAAGATGGTCATCGACAGCGTTGTCCTGCCTTCGACGTCAGTTCTTAGTTTTCTGGAAAGAGATGGGAATTCTAGTAGGAAACGCAGTATGGAGTATCATCTGCGAAGCTGTGTATACGTGTGGTTGCTCCTAATAGATGATTGTAATTAACTTTGAACAATGTTGGTGCCAAGATTGATCCTTGTGGTACGCCGAATACTCCGTCCACTACCACATGGAGCGATCTGCCTAGAAGAGAACTCTAAAAAAGACGTGTAATGTATGATTGTAGCTTTGTGAAGGAGTTTTTGCGTGCCAAACACGGTCGAATGCCTTCCATATATTCAACGCCATAGCAATAGTTTTATAATTTTTTTCAAATGAAGCTTGCCATATATCGGTAACGTAGAAAAGTGAATCCCCAGTTGATCTTTGGTGCAAGCCGAGGTGCAAGCCATATATTGTCTCTATCATTATTGATTCCTGGGCTTCACAGATGTATGATGAACTCAATGTTGAATCGACAATTAGTCGCTTCCTCATTCAGGTAAATTATATGTATAGTAGGTACCTGATATGGCATTGCATGTTGAATCAAACATTTTGAAATATAATCGATATTCTACCAATTCTCAGTACTGATGTACCTATATCGTCAAGTGTTTCATTGACACCCTGAGGAAGTTTCTATTTGGAATTGATATTTTGTTGAAAGTCAGAGGGAGGCCAATGCCCTTCTCCTGCCCCCCTAAATGACGCTTATGTTCATGGTAACTGGTAATGCATGAATCAAAAATGACGTGTCAGATAATGAGATTTATGAATACGATACTTCATTCTACTACTTCCTGACTTCATAAAGACTATCATTCGAAAGATCAAGCGAAACGAATTAAAACGAATGTCGAATGAGTTTTTTGAGTAGTAATGTGAAGATTATGACACTTTCAGACATAAAACTGTAGGTCATCATCTCGAAGACGTAGAGTAACTATAATATATCAATGTGTCTCACTTCAAACGCCCCACCCTATATATTCGGATTAGTAAAATGATATACATCAATATGATCGGTTTCTTAGAGACGAACATCATTTTGGACATTGTCGTGCGTTTTTATAGAACTTAAAAGGGGCTTTTATATTTATATAATCATATAAATAAAATTGGACACTAGGGAAACTGACCTGAATATAGTTATTCATCATGGTTTCAAATCCTCAAAATATATTACACTTTCTTAAGTATCATTCCTATTCAAGATAACTTTTAGTTTTTCAACAAGTCAAGATAAATATCATTTTTAAAATGGTTATTCTGGTGCAAAAATTCAATATAATTCGAGAATGGGAATTGTTCGTTTTGAATAATCATTCGATATATGTAACAGAACAATTTATCAAAAAATTCACTTATATGAAAATAATGGTTCGCACGAGTCACGTTCGAGACACTCGCATTGTCTCTTCTCGTCTACTATACGAGACTCAGGACAATACTCTACCAAGACGAGATGAGACGAGACTAATAAGAGTATCTGATCTCGTCCAGCTCCAAAAGTCTCGTATAGAAAACGAGACGAGACCATGCGAGATTCTCGAAAGAGACTCTCTTGCCAATCACTATATAGCACTACTACAAAACAGAACCCAATGAATTTTTCTCCTATTGAAAATGTACGATGAATACTGTTCCAATTGCTGCCCATTCTGTTAAAAACACAGCTGACATCTTCTGAGGATTGCGTCAATCGAACAGAATACTTGAAATTTCAACTCAAATATAATTGGAGGAAGCTACCTAAAAATATATTAGAGCCAAATTTGAATGATCAAGATAGATAAAATAGGACATGAATAATAGTATATTATGTAACAAGTGTTATAAACGTCCTTTTAGTAACGAGTATTTTGAGCACGAGCGGAGCAGAGCGAAGCGAGTGTTTAGTAAACGAGTGTCTAGAAGAGTTTATGAACGCGTTACATACTATGCTTTTTCTACGAATTCCGAAAATTACATCAACATACCTGCAATACCTGCTAACCTACAAAATAATTCGAAAGGAATGGGAATTGAGAACATAATACATGCAACTGCATGCAACCAGCGAGACACGTATAAGTGATATTGGTTGTAGATGTGTCCAGTCCATTGCTTACTAACCTTTGTTTCACGTTTATTGTCATGCTTAGCGCAGAATAGATAAATTGTTCTCAAAGATGGATGCTTCATATTTACACTTCTTGGAGATATGCAAGTATAGTTTATCCAAAAACAATTGCAGAATCTTGTGCCGCACCTGCAGTCACTTCAAAGAAAACTTCAAACACGCCGACGCCGCACAGTGCGGGATATTCTGCAATTGATATTGGATATACTTTACCAGAACGTTCTCTTCGATTTCACTTTCGTCTACATCTCGCATATATTTTCAATGGAGAATTCTGATACAAACGAATATTGTTTGAATAATTCTGATACAAAATTCGAAAATAACAGTTGACAGTTAATACAATTGACAGGCCAGACATGCCTCAAATTACTGAAGCTGTGTTTAATGAACTGTGTTGCCATGGTAATGTGTTTAAGAAATCGTGTGGCCATGGTAACGTGTTTAATATTTTGAATAAATTACAGATCGTCAATCCGTGATTAATCGATCATTTAGCGTGGTACATATTCGTACGCTAAATGCCATTTTAGTTATGTGAGTAGAAAAACATATTAATGTATGTATGCGTGTT